GTGGTTTTCTTTGCTGCCTTAAGCAGGTTATCTTGGCTGCCTCTACCCAACCAAGAAGCACAGGGAGTGTGTGCCTAGGCCCGTGCTCCACAGGATGCACAGAGATCTGTGAGGTAATTACGGTGGGTCCATCGATCATGTAGCAGGCATGCAGGGCTCCTGGGGATTGCTGTATCCATCTCTGTGTGCAAGACCAGGTACAGCATCTGCTGGGGCCAGTGCAAACTGAAAATGGGTTGTCCTTTTGCAAAACTTAAAAATTTCAGGATGGCCAGGCGCAGTGGCGCACACCTGTCATCCCAGCAGCTTGGGAGGCTGAGGCAGGAGGCTCTCAAGTTCAAAGCCAGCCTCAGAAAAGTGAGGCACTAAGAAACTCAGCAAGACCCTGTCTCTAAATAAAATGCAAAATAGAGCTGGGGATGTGGTTCAGTGGTTAAGTGCCTCTAAGTTCAATTGCTAGCACCCTACCCCGACCCCCACAAAAAAAAAATTCAGGAAGGCCACCCCTGAGCATTCTGCTCAGGACCTTCCCAAGCATGAGATACTGTGAGCCGGTCACATGTCCATGAAGCCAGCCCTGTCTGCATGCATAAGATCTACTCTAGAGTCTGGAACCTAGTTAGTGCTTGATCAGCATATACCAAATGTCCATCTTGCCATTATCATGATCCCCTCTGAGAAGAGGCTTTTGGTTCCTGGACTGTGACTGTATTTTCCAACATTAGTGGAACAGTCACTAGGTACAAGACATTATTTTTGACATGTTAGCTCCTCTGCATTAAGATGCTATGAGGTAGAGAGTTGTCTCATAGGAGGCAACTGAGGCACAGAGAACTAAGTCACCTACTGGAGGTCACACAGTTGCTAAGAAGTTGTGCTGCATTTTGACCCAGGGGATCTGGCTCCAAATCATTCTACGGAGTTAGGATTAGAAACACTTAGACAGTCAGATAGCCCCTTCCTTTAGGCTGGGACCCACATCTTATTTCTCTTTGTGTCCTCTTCCTTGGCACGCCCAAAAAGGAGCAAACATTCAGGGGACACCCTTCATGCAAATAGCATTGCTGAGCTCCTCTCTGCACCAGGCCAGAAATCTGTCCTAGAAAAGACAATGATTTCCCCTCGGCATCCATGTTCCCAGCTAAATGGAGGGGTGACTGGCAGCAGGAGGATTGAAGGGTTTGTTCTGGGTGACATGCAAATATTTAATCAGTGACATGACCCGGGAACTGAGCAATGAGAGTGGACCCCAGACACTTAGGTGGCCCCTGCTACAACACACTTAACCCTTTGGTGGCTGGATATGGGGCCAGTAAAGAAAATGGGATACTTGGGGCCAGTAAAGAAGGTGGGAAAGATGGGACAGGTGGGCAGAATAGATAAATGTCCCCTTCTCGTCTCCCCATTATTTTGGAGTTCTCCATTGCATTCCTGAGAATGCTTGGCAAATTTCAGGCTCTAAGTGCCCATTCAAATCCACAAACACTGGGTATTCCTACAGGCATGTTGCAGGTCACGAGAATGTGGAGAGAGGACAGTGAGTAAGGGAATGAGCACAGCTTTAGGAAACATGATTCAGTCCATGCCTGGAACATAGTAGGTGCTCATTTAATACCTCCTAAATTGAGTTAATATGAAATTAGACATGTAAGATCGGGGGGCCCATTGTTCCCGAGGTGAAAGTTGTGTTCATGGTCCATCCTTAGGTAACAATTATTCTCAAACCTGTCAGCTTAAAACATGGAGAGCCAACCTTTTCCTTTAAAGGTCAGTTGGTAAGTATTTTAGGCCTGTGGGCTGTGTCATCTTCCTCTGCAGGTACTCAACAGTCACTGCTGCGATAAGACAAAAGCTGCCATAGCTAATATGTACATGAATGGGTAATACCGGGTTCCAATAAAACTTTATTTACAAAACCCAGTGATTGGAAGTTTGCTAACCCTGCCTTTGAACAACGTGCATTATTTCACAGTTTCTGTGGGTCAGGACTCTACGTGTAGCTCAGTTGGGTGCCTCTGGCTCAGTGGTTTCTCAGGGGTTGTCATCCAGTGGTCAACAAGGGCCACAGTCACCAGAAGACTGAGGTGGGACTACAGAATCTGCTCCCGAGCTCACCCGGTGGTTGAAATCACGGAAATAATCCCAGGGATGGAAGGGGAAGCCACCCCAGGATGTGCCATTGGGTTGGCCCTGGGACAGGCACTAGACTCTGCCAGGACCTCCTAAGGAGCTTGGGGCACGCGTTTCAGAAGGGTCTGGCCTGGAATGGAGCAGGAAACATTGAGCCATTTGGTCCCTCTCCTTGGCCAAGGGTGTCACGTGCTGGAAGGGGTCACATGCGTGAGATTCCTGTTGACGTTCCAGAGAGACAAGAGGTGTGCCATGGTGGCTGCTGGCGAGGTCCTGCCCACACCTGCTGGACCAGGGGCTGCGCAGGAGGTGGAGCTGAAAGGTCTGAAGTGGCACAAGAGGGGTCCCCAGAGTGCTCCTCCCCACGGGAAGCCACCCAGCCCTGCCCTGTGGACCTCAAGCATGGCCCCATGATGGCTTTGAGCAGAAGTAGCCAGGGTCCCCTCAAGCAGAGCCTTGAGAGCCGCTGAGGGCTTCAGCGTGCCCTCGTGTGTGGCTGCCGCAGGACGTCCAGCAACAGTCCCCAAGGGAGTGGTCTTTTCAACCTGGATCCCGGGGCAAAGAGAACATGTGTCAGAGCCACAGCCAGCAACCTGTGAAGTGGGGGGTGACCGTCGGCCATGAGGACGTGAGGGTGGTTTGCTGCCGTGGCCACGCCCGGCCTCACCTGATGGATTGATTCAATAACTGAACCTAAAAAGAAAGTTGAAATCACACCAGACGGTTAAAAAGTGGGGGCGTCGGCCCCAGGATGGCCGTTTTGTGACCTCTGTCTTTGAAACGCAAAAATCCTATCTCCTGTCACCTCACCTTGTCCGTCAAGGTTGCCAGGGCTGCTGTCTCAAGTGAACTCATAGTGGGTGGCTCAACCCAACAGAAATATATTCTCTCGTGGTTCTGGCACTAGAATCTGAAATCAAGGTATCCACAAGGCCACGCTGTCCCTGAAGGTGACAGAGGAGACATCTTCCGGCCCTTGCTAGCTCCTGGTGGCTGCCACCACCCTCGGCAGCCCTTGGCTTACAGCTGCACCTCCCCAGTCTCTCCCTGTCTTCAGCTGGCTGTCCTGCCCATGTCCCCAGCTTTTTCTCATAAGGACACTAGTCATATTGGATGAAGATCCTACTCAAGTATGAGGTGGAACTCCAGCAAAAGTCTGACCTCAGCCAGTCACAACTGCAGTGGCCCAATTGCCAGAGGCGTGTACATTCCCAGGTTCTGGGGAGGTTCTGGATTTGAAGACACTGCCCAAGCCTGCATACTCAGACTTACTGGTTGTGTTGGTTCGTAGAACCTAATGGCCCTGCTTCATTTCCTGTTTAGAACTGATCACTCCACCAGAAGACAGATGAATTAGAGCAAAGCTCCGTCTAGCTCACCGTTCCACGCCAGCCCCTCGCACAGCTTGAGGCACCAGGGTGTCCTCCCATAAAAATTTCTTGCAAAGAGGAAGAAAGAGAAGAGAAGAAACAGACTTTCTGCTTTGACATGTTTAAGATGGTGCAGAGGAACTGAGAAGGGGCTGGGGCTAAGGACGGGGAATCCAGAGAGTGGGACCTTTGAGCTCATAGTTGCTGCAAGGCCACCCTTTCTATTCTCTCTACAGAGGCTTGAGAAGAGGCCCTGTTGGGACAGAGCTCCTCATTTCCCAGGTGCCCCTACAAGTCTACCTTCAACCTTGCTCCACCCCAGAAAAGCAGCCACCAGTGAACTAGGAGGGGGCCAAGAGGAAAGGCAGGAGAGGAAGCTGAAGGCCCAGACTTGGTCAGGTTCTGCACCATGTCCTTCCCACAGGAGGGGGGAGCTCTGTGTACCCACGAGGGTGTCCCATTCCTGCAACTGGGCCTGAGAATCAGGGCTGACAAACCCAGTCCACACTGAGAGGAGTGGACCCAAGTGGAGACTGGATTGTGTCCAGGTGAATGGGCAGCTGCTGCCATGAACTTCAGAGGACTGCTCTCAGAAAAGAGTCTTCTATGTGCAAATGAATGCTGAGATCTAAATATTTAAATAGGTTTTAAAATAGAATTCAAGCAATTCAATCAATAAGTAGGCAGAGGGGGGTGGGCAGGGGGAGCCACTATGGAAGCCAAAAAAGAGGGTGTTCCCAGAGGTAACCCTTGATTGACAGCCTCTTGTGTAATGCAATTCCTGATTGTCTTGAAGAATCTGAAATTTCCAGTGTGGATCAGATCAAGGCAGGACACTAATCCACAAGCTCATGCACATGAACTGAACCCCCCCAAAAAAGCAGATCAGAGGCAGGTAGGCCTCAGCCAACCAAAACAACTTCTTGCCTTCCTCCGGTCCGTTCTCTGGGAGAGAAAATAGATCCTTGACCCTAGTGATATTTTTTTGCCCAGCTCCTCTTCACACATTTACTTAAGTGTAAAGATTGAGGGGAAGGGGAATCCAGGTGTCCTGGCTTCCCTTTCCTTCAATCAAACCAGGGGCCATTCTTCCAATAATCCTTCTTCCCAAATCCCCAAAGGACCCTGATCTTCCTCCCAAAGGAATCAAGATTAAGAATACCAGACTGAGTTCCAATCTGGGCTTTGTCCAGCTCCCACAGCTGCACTGGTCCAATCCCTAAGACTAGGGCTAGGTCATACCCCAACTTTGCACAAAATTATGCAAATTAGAGAAAGGTATTTTTCCACCAGTGTAGCTCTAAACCAAGACACACAATTTAGTAATCCCAGAAAGGCTGACTTTAGACCCTCTTAGCCCCTCTATAAAACCGTACATAGCCACCCTGTGTAGTCTCTCCCTTGCAAGCCTATTGCAAGAATTAATTGTGATACTGTTTTAAAATGCTTAACACAATTATGTGGTAAATAATAATAATAACTCAGTATGTTATGCTTTAATCTTAATTTATTTACACAATCTTCAACAGAATAATACAGGCAAATCCCAAAGCAGGGCTGCTCTTGGGAACCCCAATATGACTTGAGATAGTGAGGGCAGAGAATTAAATGAATACTGAAGGGTAAGAAGTATCCCCTTTTCAATGTTCTCGTTTCTTCCTAGAAAGATTCACTATTTTACACCTCAGCACTTGCTAATGATACATACATGCTCTTGAACCCCTAGAAGTCTTTCCCAAGCAAGTCTGGGCAAAATGTATGAATAGTGCTTGATTTTTAGCTCTTTATCTTCTACAATTTCCTTTTCTGGTGACTAACAGCTCTTTTTATTATTTTAATTTTTTTTTACAGTCATACCAATAGTAGTATCAACTCTTCATCCAAAAAATACATATTTGAGTTTTTAAAATGACCTGATTTAAGGAAAAATGTTAAGTCAATAGAGTAGAGGTGGTAGCAAAAATTTGAAGTTGGGGAAACTTGACCTCAGGCAATTCCAGGCAAGGTCAGACCTTTACGGTTTTTCTTTGGAACCGGGAACTCTGACTCCCCTGACAGGGAGCAGGAAGGAACACGGGGTTAGAGCAAACGCTTCCTGTCCAGGGTCCTCTGCGCGACAGTGTCTAGAACCAGGCTCTTAGCTTCGGATTTTCTCAGCAACTCACGTCGGTTCCCTTGGTCTCAGCTCAGTTTGCGCCTTGGCTCTGATAAACCTTCACTTTGGGAGGTGCACCTGGGTCAAGGGTCCCGAGTTCGGCCAACCTCAGGGAAGGACCTCTGCTCTTGGAGACCGAGTCTGGCTCTGTTGGGGAGAAGCCCAGAATGGAACCGGCTCCCGACCCCAGAAGGGTCCTGGGAGCACCATCCCTGGTCAAGCCACGCCAATGCGCCCTCTAAGAAGAGGAACGAGCGGAGCACCTACAGGTTGAGGCTGTGTTTGATCCCGCGATGTGTCACCCGGAATTGCAAACAATTTATTGCCAATAGACGACGTTGTCAGGCGCTAATTTCCCGGTGGCGCTCCGTCACAGGCCTCTAAACGCCAGGGGAGGGGCTCAGAGGCCGCTGGGCGGAGAGCGCGGAGGAGCCACGGCGAGCCAGGCGGGGGTTCCCATAACGAGGCTATAATGAGGGGAGCAGGGCCCGCCTTTGTGGCCAAGCCGGCGAAGGCCGGGCCCCGCGCTCGGCGAGGTCACTTCCTCCCCAGGGCCCCGAGCGCCAGGGGACAGCTGCCGCCGCCAGGGCCGGTACCCACAGCGGGGCTCTTTGGGGTCCGCACCACCCTCGCCCACTCCAAACTGCGGCAGGAAAAGCAGCGCCACGCTACAATGCAAACGTGCTCATTACCATAGCCTCAATATGCAGGAAGAAAATGCGCGATTCTCACCGAGCCCCGTCACCCGGCTCTGGCCTCGGTATCCAATAAGGCGACATATTCATCTCCCGAGAAGACGAGGAGGGGGCGCCAGGGAGGCAGCCGCTGAGAGGAGGAGAAAGGAGGGGACAGATCCTGGAGAGGGAGAGAAGAAGGGACAGACACCGAGAGGAGAACCCGACAGGGACCGAGAAATTGAGGAAGGAACTAGGGGAGGGTTAGGGTGAAAGACGGAGAAAAGAAAGATGGTCAAACGCAGGTGTGGGGGGGACACCATCACCAGGAGAGGGAAGCAGGGACAAAAGAGGAGAGAGCCGGAGCCGGATGGAGAGAGGCCAACTAAGTGGCCCTGAGAAAAAGTATAAAACCGAACAAATTAGGGAGCCGAAGAAAGACCAAAAGAATGACCTAGAAATCAAATATCCAGACAGTGCGAGAGACGGAGGAACACAAAGGAAGGGAGGGAAGCGAAACTGCAGGTGGGAAAACAGTCGATCCTGAAGAGGGAAAGAAAAATAAAATTATTCACGCTAAGGTCCGGGGTTTTCGATCTAGGCCATCGGCCATCGTCTGGGGCGCTGCACATCGCGGGCCTCGCCGAGACCCAGGGGAGTGGGCCGGTCGGGTGGCTCGGGGGCGGAGCAGAGCCGCAGGAGACCCGGTGGCCGGCCTCCCTCCTCTCCTTGGGCGGCCTGGCCGCTGGGGAGAGCGTAGGCCTGGCCCGGGGCCCACCCGGCGCTTCGCGACCCGCTGCCGCTGCGGCCATTCCGGTGGGCGGCCTCTCCCGAGCAAGAGAGCGAAGTTGGCAAAGTTTCCCCCAAAGTTTCCCGGTCACTTCTCCAGACACCGGGAAGGCCTCCGAGGCCCTGGCAGCTGGTAGGGAGCGGCAGCATTTTCCGGGGTGGCTCTGGATCCCCTGACCCGCGCCTCCTGGGATGCTCCGAGTCCGGATTCCTGGCCAAATACGAATTCCTCCCGGTGCGATGCCAGTCCACGCACTGGGTCCGTGTGGCTGCTAATAGCGGAGAGAGAGAATGCGAAAGAGAGAGAGAGGGAGAGAGGGAGAGAGAGAGGGAAGGAAAAAAATATCCTAAGCTCAATTTAAGTCTCATGGAAAGGGCTTACAACTGTAATTAAATCATTAAATTCTTGTCTACGCTTCACAGAGCGGAGAGAAATTAACTTCCCACCAACCTCATTTTCTATTTGAACATGAAATAATGATTTTCTGCCCGTCTAATTACAAAGCCAACATCTGATCAAGCCAGCATCCAGAGGGGATTATCGCATGCACGAGTATTAGACCTCATTACCAGCTTGAGTGCAAAATTATTACATCTTGTAATTGGATGGTGAGATTTATATACAGATCGGCCCGGTTTCTGTAAGATTGTAATTACAAGCTTCGTTGGTTAGCTACTTATCAGAACTTTGCAGGAAAACAAAACAAATGACTGAGGAAAACGAGCATTTCATTAACCTGTAACCCGAGCGCGGGGGGAGGGAGCGGTGGGAGCGCGCGCCCGCGGCGTCTGCAGGAAGCCCAGGGATAGCCAGCCTGCACTGCCGCCGGGGGACTCCGGGCCTTGGGAAGAAAGGACAGAAGATGGGCCTCGGCGGGGAAACACAGAGCTACAGGGGTTCCCCGCCACCCAGACGCGCGCGCACCGCGGGGCTGGGCGAGGAGGGGGCAGGAAAGGGGCCTCGGTGGCTCCAAGCTTGTGTGCAGTGCGCGAAGCAGCCCCTGAAACTGGTGGGCCTCAGGCCCAGGGTACACGTCGGGCAGCGGCTCCGGGTACGCGTCCAGCGCACACTGCTGGGTGCGCCACGTGTGTGCGACTGACACCCTTTCGGTACACTCCCTGCGCCCTGGGCTGTGTTCCAAGAACGTCCGCAGCGAGTCTCCACAGCGCTTTGTGCGTTAGGAATACTGGAAGAAGGAGAGAGATGATCGAGAAGCTTCTGCGTGCGGCGAGTTTGTGCGCGCTGTCTTTTCCAAATCAACTTCCCGTGCACCTGCTTTTCCTTGCTATGCGAGAGTATCACTCTGACCTAATCTCTTGGATTAAAAATCCCTGGAAAATAATCGGCTGCCCGCGGACCCACGAGTTGAGTCCGGATTCGGGTTCCACCAGCACGGTCCAGTTGAGGGACCAGCACCACGTCGGGGCTCCTTGGAGATGCTGAATCCCGAATGGGGGGTGGGGTGCGTATTTCAGGGCCTGGCCAAGAATATTCCCAGGTGGAGACCAGGGTAGCCAGGGAGGTGGCTTCTGCTCCCTGGGGCTCCTGGAGAGATGTAATTAAGCAAGATTCTTGGGTTCTTGTCCTGGTGTGAAGGTTCACCCTCTGGGCCGGGGGCGGGGGGCACCCCGGCGTGGCTGGTTCCTTTTAGCAGTCTGCCCTCTCCGGGCCCTCTTTCCCCACGCAGCTGGGTCATTAACTGGTTAATGCGGAAGGAGCATCTCCGAGGCTCATGATTACTTTAAATATCGGGCGTTTCACCCTGGCACTTAACAGTGCAACCCCCGTTCTCCCAGCTCAGAATCTTTCTCCCACAGCCCTCCTGGTCTGGTGCCACCACGCCCTGCAAACTCTAGGATTTCGGGGCTGTGGAACCTCAAGGTCTGCACCTAGAACACACCCTGGGGAATGTTACCCCTGATTTTGCAACCCTAAGATTTTTCGTGGGAAGGTGAGCCCAAGATTCCCTATGACATTCTCTGGAAGGTTTAACTGGAAACGAAATCAGGCGCAGGGGAGACATTTCAAGACCACGGAGCTGCCCCTGATGTCGCCTCCTTCGGCAAGGTTCACCTAAAGCCAACACCTAGCATCAGGCAGAGGCGCAGGACAGAGGATAGGGAAGCAGTTCAGACCCAATTGGGGAAGACACCAGTTTCCCCCCATGGAATCCTAAACCTGGTCGTCCCCGAACTTTCTTTTGTCTTTTCGCTCATTATTCTTGGCGTTCGAATCCGCGGAAGTCATCTGCCAGTCGGAAGAAAGTGGCAGGAATGGGGGTGGGTTAAGAAGAAACTTTTTATTATGTAACTGAGTCCCCAGAGCAGCAGTGACCAGAGACAGCGGGGGCCGAGACCCTCGGATCCCTCCACTCCAGTGGAATTTGGATTCGATTCCTTGATCCATCAGTGCCGGGTGGCAGCTTTCCGCCTTCAAGCTGAGGCTGGCCACTCCAAGGCAGAGTCGCCGCCCCCCAAGTTGTCCCCGAGGCACGACCGCCTCAGGCCAGGCCCGTGCGCGGGTCGCCGCCGCGGCCTAAGGCACTTAGTCCCGAGCCGCAGCAGTTTCGGGCATTTCAATGCCTTTCTTGACGGTACGCCCTAATCCGTGAAGGTGGGCGCCTGAATACTGATATTTCAAGTTTGATTTAGGAAATTCTCCACCGCACAACCCAAAGTCTTGCCTCCCATCCCCCCACCCCTCCCCGGCGGTGGGAGGATCCTTGCAGAAGGAAAACGGGTTGACGCAGGAACCTGGGAGCGGGGAAAGGGCTAGTGAAACGAGGATCTCGACAGACCCCAAAAATGCCAATAGAGAAACTTCTCGAAGTACTCTCTGAAAGTTCTTGGGCCCTCGGACGTCTGGCTCCCTGTTCCTCCCCTCTTCCACTCCTTCTGGCTCTACTGATTCTTCGCGGCTCTCTAAGACCTCCGGAGTGTCCACCCTTTGGCCACCGAGCCCAGCCCGCCATTTCCAACAGGGATTTCGCACCCCGACACCCGGGAGGCGTTAATGTGGCAAATTGCACTGTTTGGTCCTCCCGGGTGGAGGGTTGACTCCCCACCCCCTGGGCAGTGAGATGGCCTTTAAAAACGCCTTCAGGACGCACTCCCTCACCCCTCAAGCACTCTTCTCCCTCCCTCCCGACCGCTCCGAGGCCGGGAGTCGAAAGGTGCGAGCTGAAAAGGGGCCCTGGGCAAAGAAAAACCGGGGGTCTCCCTTGGCCCAGGGTCCGGACCCGACCCGGGCCTGTCGCTGTGGCTGGGGAAGAAACGCCGAGGAGCCGGAGGCGGGGAGGGGCGAGCTGACCCAGTCCTAACCCGCGTCCCAGCGCCTCTCGCTCCCCCTCCCGGCGCAGGCAGGAGGGGGCGGGAAGGGACTCGCTGCGCCCCGGCTCCCGCCCCGCCCCGCCCCGCGCGCGGTATCCGCGGGGGTGGGCGGCCTCGCCCGTAAGGCGCCCAGGCGATTGGCGACTCGGCGAGGAGACGCCAGGAAAAGTCGAATAAGAGGGCGAGACGTCAGACCCGAGATTTGGGAAAGGGTGAGGGAGGGGGTGGAAGGGCGGGGACGGACACACAGACACGGACGCGGACACACACCCCCCGCGCGGCGCCCAGAGTGTGGGCAACTTTAGGCCGCCTTAGACCAGGGCGCAGAAAGGCCAGGAAGGTCGGAGGAGGTGGTGCGCGTGAGCCAGGGGAAGGGTTTAAGAGAGGAGGGAGAGAAGAAAAAGTGAAGGGAACAAAAAAGGGGGAAAAGCAATACGGAGCCAGGGAAAGAGAAGAAAAAGGAGAGGGTTCCTAGCGTCCAGGACAGCGGAGGAGCGGAAGCGATCCTGGGGGAAGAGGCGCAGCGCGGGGAGGGGAGAGGAAGGGAGAGGAGGGGGAGTGAAAACTAGAGGAGGGCGAAGGAAGCGAGGCGCGACACTGCTCGCGGAGAGGAGGGCAGTGAGGAACGCCGCGCTGGGAGAGGCGGCTCCGGCGGCCGAGAGGAGGGAGCGCGGCGCAGAGAGGAGGGGCTTGCGGCCCCGTAGAAATGTCAATCAGAGCCCGGAGCCCGGGGAATCTCCGCCAATCTGTTCGGACCTGACCTGGCTCCTCGCCGCCGCCGCCGCCGCCGCCGCCGCCGCCGCGGAGCAGATCAATAGGGGAACCCGGAGCGCCGCGCAGAGCGGGAGGTAGCGCGGCCCCAGCTCGGCCCAGCCCCCGATGCGCGCCGGAGCCCGCGGGCGGCGCTGAGCAGGGCGGCCCCGGGGGCCGGGCCCCCTCTCCGTCCGTGCCCCGCGGGCCACCATGTCCTTCCCCCAGCTCGGATACCAGTACATCCGCCCGCTCTACCCGCCCGAGCGCCCGGGAGCTGCCGGCGGCGGCGGCGGCGGCAGCGCGGGGGCCCGGGGAGGACCCGGCTCGGGAGCCTCGGAACTGACCGCCTCTGGGTCCCTATCCAACGTGCTCTCGTCCGTGTATGGGGCGCCCTACGCTGCGGCCGCTGCTGCCGCCGCCGCCGCCCAGGGTTACGGCGCCTTCCTGCCCTACGCCGCGGAGCTGCCCATCTTCCCGCAGCTGGTAAGAGCTGGAGGAACCCGGGAAAGAGGGTTGGAGCTAGGGCGCCGGGCGAGGTGAGCGCGCGGGAGTAGACTACCGGGGTCCGGGCCAGGAGGGTGGAGGCAGCGACTGTTGGAGCTCACCCGCGCTCCCTACGCGCGTGTCCCCTTCCTTTTCCATGTGTGTACAGGGCGCTCAGTATGAGCTGAAGGACAGCCCTGGGGTGCAGCATCCGGCCGCGGCCGCAGCGTTTCCGCACCCGCACCCCGCTTTCTATCCGTATGGCCAGTACCAGTTTGGGGACCCGTCCCGTCCCAAGAACGCCACCCGAGAGAGCACAAGCACGCTCAAGGCCTGGCTCAACGAGCACCGCAAGAACCCCTACCCCACCAAGGGCGAGAAGATCATGCTGGCCATCATCACCAAGATGACCCTCACCCAGGTGTCCACCTGGTTCGCCAACGCGCGCCGGCGTCTCAAGAAGGAGAACAAGATGACTTGGGCACCCCGCAGTCGCACGGATGAAGAGGGCAATGCTTACGGGAGCGAGAGGGAGGAGGAAGACGAGGAGGAGGACGAGGAAGATGGCAAGCGCGGGCTGGAGCTAGAGGAGGAGGAGCTCGTGGGGGAGGAGGAGGACACGGGGGGCGAGGGCCTGGCAGACGACGACGAAGAGGAGGAGATCGATTTGGAGAACTTAGACGGCACGGCTGCAGGGCCTGAGCTGGCCTTGACTGGGGCAGCGCGCAGGGACGGTGACCTAGGCCTGGGACCCATTTCGGACTCCAAACATAGCGACTCAGAAGACAGCACCGAGGGCTTGGAGGAGCGGCCGCTGCCAGTCCTGAGTCTGGCCCCAGCGCCACCGCCAGTGACCGGGACTCCACCATCTCCGCCCTCGCCTCCCACCGGCCTTGACCCCTGCGCACCGGCACCGGCTCCCTCCTCTGCCCTGCAGAAGCCCAAAATCTGGTCCCTGGCCGAGACGGCCACGAGCCCGGACAACCCACGCCGCTCGCCTCCTGGCACGGGATGTTCTCCTCCTGGGGCGGCGGTCGCACCCCCGGCTCTACAGCTTTCTCCCGCAGCAGCCGCTGCCGCCGCCGCGGCTCACAGACTGGTCTCGGCGCCACTGGGCAAATTCCCGGCTTGGACCAACCGGCCGTTCCCAGGCCCGCCGCCCGGCCCACGCCCGCACCCTCTCTCCCTGCTCGGTTCGGCCCCTCAGCACCTGCTGGGACTTCCCGGAGCCGCTGGTCACCCGGCTGCCGCCACCGCCTACGCTAGACCCACGGAGCCCGAGGGCGGAACAGGTGACTGCGGAGCGCTGGGCTCAGCGGGAGGGGGTTCTGGGAGACCCGATCTGGGGATGGACAGGGCTCTGGGGGGGCCAGGTGCTTTTCTTTCCGCTCCGCGTCCGGCTCCCGCGCTCTGGCGCCGGAACCCAGCGTTCTAAAAGCCCTCTTTTTCCCTCTCTTCGCTTCTCTCAGATCGCTGTAGTGCCTTGGAAGTGGAGAAAAAGTTACTCAAGACAGCTTTCCAGCCCGTGCCCAGGCGGTAAGAGACCCCGAGCTCGGTGGGGTGGGGAGCCGGAGGCGGGAGGAGGAAAGAAGGCCGAGCCTTACGCACAGCTTGTTGCCCCAGGGGGAACCTGGCCGAGAAGTTTTTTAAAAGGGAACAAAATGCACTCCACTATCACTTCTCACAGCGCAGAAACCGCTGCCAGTTCCAGCCCAGGCCCCCGGGTGCGGCCTGCGGATTTAGAGCTGGGAACCCTAAGCTGGCCGGGCAAACAGGCCCCTAGAACTAGCGGCCTCCCAGTGAGGCCCACTTCTTCCTGACCTTCGGGTCTAGCGCCTTCGGCCTGTCTTAATAGTTTAACCCCCAACACACACATCTCCGCTGAACAGGATTACCCATTAAGACACCTCCCCGGCCCAGGCCCCAGCCCCAGGTAGGGTGTGTCCGCCCTAGGCGACCTCCGAGTCCCTGTATCTCACCTCCTTTGCTCCCACCAACTCTCTTCCAGGCCCCAGAACCACCTGGATGCGGCTCTGGTCTTATCGGCTCTCTCCTCATCCTAGTTTCTTTTCTTTTTTTTTTTTTTTAATACTTTTTAAATCGTTGTAATAATTGTAAAAACAACAACAACAACAAAACGCTCTGTATAGTTACAACTTGTAAGCATGTCCGTGTATGAATACCTAAAAAGAAAACTAAACAAAAAAAGAAAAAGAAATAAAATCAGTCCCCCTCATCCCTCCCCAAGTCGCTTCTGTGCCACCCCACATTAACTGCCATTGTCAGGTTGGTTTGTTCGATTGATTTGGGGAGGGGGTGGAGTTTCAGTGAGAATAAGCGTGTCTGACTGTTTTGTATATACAGAAAAATGTACATATGTGTGAACCAAATTGTACAAGAAAGTATCTATTTTTGGCTAAATAAATGAGCTGTTGCCACTTTGACTATACCGGCCCGCCTGCCTCCGGATAGATCTGTTTGGTTGGTTCTTTCGGGTTTGGGGGGATTTCCCCCCCAGTTGTTTGGAGAATCTCCCGAATCAGCGGGAAAGGGGAAGGGAGGTGGTTAGAGAACAGCAATGGCGAAGGAGGCGCCAAAGTGGCGGGACTGGGGGTGCGCCGCAGGCGGGGAAGCGGTGGGAGAAGTACCTGGAGCGCCCTAGATCAAGGGCGGAGGAGACAGGTGGGAAACTGGGCAAGATTTCCTACCAGAAGCTGGAAAACTGGGTCCAATAATCGGTCCACGGAGCAACCGCGGGGCCTTGGAGCCTTCTCTGGTGACTTAGAAGAAAAACTAAGCATCTGGACGCGGAGGACTTAGGCTGGGCGGTTCTGGTCACCCCCTGTTCCCATTCTTGGACAGGCACAATCGAGGTTTTCTCAGTCTTACATACAAAGGCTGTGCAAGCTCCGCTTCAAGGCCTCTTTCCAGCCGCTCTGGACCCTTCAGACGTCTTCTTATAAATGCAAAGTTGTGGATTGGCGGTGTGGGGGGGATATGGAGTGCAAGGGGCCAGGGGTACACAACCTTCCTTCCGAGTGACGGGTGACTGCGCTCCAGTTGAGAGTTGTAGGACCGTGGCGATATCTGTGCGTCTAGACGGGTTTGGGGGGAAACCCAGTGAGATTACCCCAAAATGCCCAGGAAGGGGCAACTTTCTGGGGTCCCGGAGCGGAGTTAGGGGGTCGGGCTGTTGCACCTTTCCAGCCAGGATTCCGGCTGGAGGCGGGTTGGGGGTGGGAGCCAGGAAATTTGGGGCTGGAGCTCCCTCTACAGGACAAAAGGAACGCTCTGCGACTCGCTTCCCTGGCCTCGCCTCTGCAGCCAGGCCAGGCTTCGCGCCCCCTCCGCGCCCTATTTTTCCTCTTTCAGTTTGCCAGCCAATCTTGATCACTTTTGACTTGAAGATGTGGGGAATGCTTGAGAGAGGAACGCCTCCGGGTAGGAAGTAGAGACCGCTTGTTTTTACACCCCTCTACCGATGTTAGTAAATAGGCTGGCCAGATGCGGGGAGCAAGACCTGCAGAGCCCAGAGCCAGGCGGGCGTGGGACCATCTTTCGGGTTCCTGAGGAGGCTTAGGAAGACCTCGTACTCCCAAAGTCACCGAACAAGGCACAGAGCAATGTCATCCACCATTGAAGCTCTGTGGGAGCTGGGGCAGTCCGGAGCGGTCTGGCAAGGATGGGTTTATGCGGGCACAGGTGTTTGAGCTGGACACCTGCACCCAGGATGGGACATTTGGGGTGCAGCAGCGCCCCAGGGGCAAGGGGGAGGGAGTGTTAGGGTAGTGCCAGCCGCACACAGGGCTTTGACCCTGGCAAAGATGTCCTG